CTTGGTTACTTACGATGTTTTAAAATAGTTTATTTATGCATGATAACTTACTTTCGTTCCTAGATTGTAGTTATGCATATTTACAGCCGTCAAAGCATCCAATCGTAATCTTCTTTTCCGCGGTACTCGGAAAAGACGCATAGCCTCCCTTTGTCCGAACGCGATATTCTCGCCACATCCACTTATGACACCATCACCGTAATAAGTTCCGCATCCACACCCGGGGATTCTTCCCAATGTGCACTGGTGAGTGAATTCATGGGTTATAGCGGCTGCGGTTATAGCATACATAAAAGCAGTCTCCCGAGTGGCTGTAAGAAAGAGCAATAAGGGAAAGTATTTAGTTACCACTGCTCTTTCTGCGATTAAACAAAAGTCTGTGTAAACCGGGTGCATGGACGGTTCATGGTTCACTACTGCAATGGTGCTGCGGGAAATAGAACTGAAAGGGTGTTTTTCTGCTGCGTCACACTTATACAATGGCAACTAAGGAGGAAAATTGGATTTTCAACGAACTAACGAGATATCCGGCCTTAAGTCTAGTAGGTCTTACCATAGCGATGAGTCGACTCGTTAGAGAAGGATAGCATTTTAAACATCTCCGATGGACAGTTCCAGATATCGTTTCTAAATAGCCTTTGGCATTCTTTTAATCCACGAAGAATTCCTTCTCTCGAGATATTCGACATCAAGGGATCATCCTGGAAGAGATCATCAGGTTGGAGTATAAATACAATAACACGGCGTACCCCATCTCAGTGTGTTCAATGTCTTGAATCGGTACAATCATGAAAAGTATAAAGTTGAGTAGGTTTTTTCTCCACCGGAAAAGCAGTTTCGAGGCCAAAACGACACAATCGTAGCCCAGCGTCTACAAAGTCCTCCCACTCGTCCCCTTCGAGTCATTATTTCACTTTGTTTTCTATTGCTTAATTTGCCCACTTCATTCCCATGTAATTTAAAAAGCTTGTTAACATTATTTGCGTTGGAGCCAAAATGAATGTAATCAACATCGAATGGCCTGGTATATCGAGGCCCTAATAACTTAGGGACATGAAATACAGGTGGGTTCTAAAAGGTTTTATTACAGGCGATCAATTTGGCGATCTTAGGATGTCTATTATATAACTTTGCACTACTTGAGCTGCATTCTTTGGAGGTATTGTTTTGTTTTGTGAATACAAAATGAACATACGAAAACATAACTCACCTTTTGTTGAACAATCTTCAAATCACTTTCAGTTATGCCGGTCCTGAAGATAAAAACTGGAGTTATTCGTCTTATAATTTCGACGGTTTATCCTCAGTTGCTTTATCAGAAAAAAACCAGCTTGTCCACATCCTGGAGCAATGTGCAGATACCGCACGTAACACCCTATCCTGAGCCTACTCCGGACAACTTTATATCATAATACCTTCGAGTCCACTGTGGGGCAGAGGGGGGGGGGGGGGGGGGCACAGTAGGAGATGGAAGGGGGGTTTGGGTCGCTCAAATGTTTTAAGTGGGTAGAATTGATAGTATGCAAGAGATTGTAAACAGTTCTTATTCAGTTTATATTTGCCATTAAATCTCAGATAAAAAATTGCAATGAGGAATGAAGTAATGTAAATTTCATTTTGAGCTTATCGGGTTAGATAGAGAGATAACGATGAGGCTCATTTGCATCTGATAAGTGTACTTTTCGATAGAGCGCAAAAACGCTTAATTAGTACAAATTTGATAGGAATGCTTTAAGAAAATCCAAGGAGATGAACGAAGTTGCAGTTGAGGGTTTCTCTGAACGAAAACAGCTGGAAGAGGCGTAAACACTAATCTAGTTATTGATAATTTTCTTCCTTTGTAATAGATCATCATGCTATTTTGAAGTGGATGAAGAAAGTAAGGCGTTGGTCCGCTAAGTAGCTTATAAGCGCTCAGTGATGAAGACAAGAATCGTTTTGGGAAAAAAAAAACATGCACGAGAACGAGGGAGGAATATCTCCGATACATGGGTCTGAAAATTTTTCTACAACGAATGCCGCACTAGAAACAGCATCGCCATGACTAAGAAAAATATAAGGACACCTTGTTTCCTGTAAGAGGTGAATGA